TCACTTCTTCCGCCTGTTCCTACGTGAGGATCCTTCAGTTGCAGGTTCTGTCTGCTGCTAAGTGTGTCTGTCCCAAACTGCACTCACCAGAGGGTGTGTTTCAGAACCCATTGTGGCTCATTTTTGAGACAAACTTTGAGCTAAAACTTCATTGATCATCTGATCTCCAAGATCCCCTTTGATTAATACACCTCAGTGGAGTCTGGGTCTCTTAATAAATAGTGCTGCATTCCAGCCTGGGCAACAGAGCTGGACCCTGTCTCAATCATAATAATACATAATTCATATCAGGGTAGAGCTAATTTCCAGTGGTCCTCCAAGTCTAGTAATTCTGCCTCCCCCATAATATCCTGTTACCCAGGCAAATGACTGCAGACCTCTTTGGGAAAGGTAGGCAGAAGAGCTACGCTATAAATTGTTGGCAGCGTAGCAAGAGTCTTCTTCAAGGGGACCTTGCTTCCTTTTTCCTTGTTTAAGGAGTTCTGGGCCTGTGTGAATTGGCTCATGTCTGGGAATTCAATGATGTATTCTGACTTTCTCTTTTGGTCATCAAGTAAGGTTTTTGTTCATTTAAGCCACAACTTTCTGTTTAGACAAATGAAAAAAATATTCCAGTAAGTTGCCCTGTTCAGTTCTAGGGACACTGTTGTCTTTGTTTTGTGTTACTATACCAGAAAACCACAGATTAGGAAATTTATAAATAAAATAAATTTATTTCTTACAGCTCTGGAGACAGAGAAGTCCAAGGTCCAGGTGCCTGCATCTGGCAAGGACCTTCCTGCTGCATCATCCCATGGCAGAAGGTGGAAGGGCAAGAGGTCAAGCTTTAGAGAGAGAGGAAGGTGGCCAAACTCATCCTTCTATTCAGAAACCCACTACTGAGATAACTAATCCACTCTCCCAGTAACGATATTAATCTGTTTTTGAAGACAAGGCCATCATGACCTGATCACCTCTTAAGGTCCCACCTCTCAGTACTGTTATATTGGGGATTAAGTCTTTAACACAAACTTTGGAAGATACATTTAAACCACAGCATTTCACCCCTGGCCACCAAAATTCATGTCCTTTTAACATGCAGTACCCATTTAGTTACACCGTAGTGGCCTCAGAGTTCTTCACTTGTACAGCATCAGCCCGAGTCTCATCTAAGTCAGGTGTGAGTGAGGCTCGTGGAACAATTCCTCCTGAAACAAACCCCTCCGGCTTTGAGCCCGTGAAACCAAAATGAGTTATCTCCTTCCAAAATTCAATGCTAGAACAGGCGTAGGATTGATAGTCCCGTTCCAAAAGGTAGAAATAGACAAGAAAAGGGGTAACTGGTCCCAAGTAAGTACGAAACTCATCAGAGAAGGCAACAGTAGGTTTTAAAGCTGGAGCATAGTCTTCTTTGACTCCATTTCTTCCACTCTGTGCACACTGGAGTGGACGTTAGGCTCCCCAAGGCCTTGGGTATCCTTGCCCCTGTGACTTTGTTGGAGCCAGCCCACACTTCGGCTCTCACAGGCTGGCGTCTCATGCCTGAGCTTCTCCAGAGTTGTGGAGTTGCACTGGTAACTCTCCATTTTGGAGTCTCTGAGATGGCCTTGTTCCCATGGCTCTGTTAGGTATTGGCCTAGTAGGGGCCCTCTGTGGTGGCTCCACTGCTACAACAAGTTTGCCCTGGGCCCCAGGCTGTCCATTACATCCTTTGAAATCTAGGTAGAGTCTGCTGTGGCCCCATAGCTCATGCAGTCTGCAAGTTTGCAGTCAGTACCATGTGAATACCACTATGACTTACTGTTTGTGCTATCTGGAGGTGTGGCAGGAGCTGCACTTTAACTCACTAGAGCGGTGGCTGGGGCTCACATTGTACAGAAGTGCAGGGAGCAGAATCCTAAGTTCCCTGGGCAGGAAAAGCTGAGATTGCACAGACACCTTTCTGGAAACCTTGCCCTCAGAGCCCTGCTCTAGGCCTGTGATGGGAGGCATGGCCTCCAGGATCTCTGAAGGAGCTTTAGAGTCTTTATCCCACTGTCTTGATGAATAGCACCTGCTACTTTCTGTCTCTACTTAGCTCTTTAGAAAATGGTCAGTTGCCCACAAACCCTTGTTTTTTTCTGCTAAACATGCCTTTTCACACTTAATACTGACAGGCTGCAAATTTTCCAAAGTTTTCCATTCTGCTGCCCTTTTAATTATAAATGCCACCTTCAGTTTCTCTCTACTCACATCTTAGTATATGCAGTTAAGAGTAGCCATGCAGGTCTTTCATTATTTTGCTTAGAAATTTCTGCCACCAGATACTTGAGTTCATTGCTCTTAAGTTCTGCTTTCGATAAGCCCTGGGGCATGGCTACAAATCAGCCAAGTTCTTTGTGACTTCATGAGTACGGCTTTTACTCCGGTTGCCAGTATCTTGCTCATTTCCACCCGAGAGCTCATCAGAATGGCCTTTCTTGTGCGTTTCTACCAGCATTCTGATTGTGACCACTTAAGTAATTCCTAAGGAGGTCAAAGCCCTCCCTGCACCTGTTGTCTTTTTCTAAGCCCTCACCAGAATTTCCCTTAATGCCTCCTTTATAGCACACTGGGCTTACAGCCATTTCCTCCCCGTTCTTCTAGTCTCTACTCACTTCCCAGCTCCAAAGCTGCTGCCACATTTTTAGGTATTTGATATAGCCACAGCCCTAATTCTTGGAACAAGTTTTCTGTTGTAGTGAATTTTGTGATGCTGTAACAGAATATCTGAAACTAGGTAATTTATAAAGAAAATAAATTAATTTCCTACAGTCTGGAGGCTAGGAAGTCCTGGGTTGAGGGGCCTTCTTGCCGTGTCATCCCATGGCAGAAAGCAGAGGAGCAAGAGAAAATGTACAAAAGAGAGAAAGGAAAGGGACCAAAGTCATCTTTTATCAGGACCCCGCTCCCATGATAACGAATTCGCTTCCCCAGTGACAGCGTTATTCCACTCATGAGGGCTCTGCCTTTCAAAGGTCCCACCGCTGAACACTGTTGCACTGAGGATTCAGCTTCCAAAACATGGACTTTGGAGGAAACATTCAAACCATAGCCACTGTGGTCAAGTAGCCATGGTGAACATTTCTGTGCTCAAGCTCCTCTGCAGCTTTCATTCTGTTGGATGTGCTGACAGTACCCACCTTGTCTCTGGATGCTAAGTGCTCTCACTTGTTCTCTGCCGCACTAATATCCCATCTTCTGGGTGAATTCAAGGAACCCACCCAGATGGCAGCAGTTCCCACATTAGTTCCTGGCCCACAGCAGAGCCAGGTATATATTCTCAGATGCCAGGGATCCCCCTTTAAAGGTATTTCTCATGGCCTTGGTGAAGGGGGCATTTGGCAAACAGGTCTCCCAGCATCAGGCAAATCCAGCATTCCTATCTTGCTAAGCCTTTGAGGGAAGTTCTGATGTTTCAACTTCATTGAGCTTCATCCACTTTTGGAACAGATTTCACCCAACCCAGCACTGACACACTGAACCCAAGTTGGTGCTCTCATGCGAAAACCTGCCTTATTGACCTACTGATTCTCTTCCAACTAGAACGGGAGCTCATTGAAGACAATGGATGTCATGGTTCTTTCCACTGTTGACTAGAAGAGAGCCTACTATAGTGCATTGTCAGGACGGTCAGTGGTGTTTGTTGAATCAGGGACTGGTTGGTTCCTTATGTGTTTGTTCAACAGATATTTATTGAGTATAGTGCTCAAGAATAACAGCAAGCAATAGATCTTTAGAAGTGGAAGTTATCTGAATGATTACGAAGCAGAAAGATGGCCAGTGTTGTGACAGCAAAGGTAGAGGGAGTGGGGGTGTGAGATGAAGTGTGGAGGTAGACAGTAACCATGCTTTGCAGCGTGTAGGGGGTTACTGTGTGAGGAGTTTTTGTCTGGTATTCCAAGTGCAGTAGGAAACCCCAGGAGTGTTTTAAGCCAGGGAGTGACAGAATTTTATATTTCAAGTTTACAGTGCCTGTTGTTTGGAGAATAGGTTTAGTAAGACAAATTTGGGAGCAGGGAGATTAGTTGGAGGACTGTTTTTTGTTCCTTTAGTGAAGACAGTGTAGCTTGAACTAGGGCAGGGTGGGGATTGACATCTCCTTGTCCACCTGCCGTTGTCACTAGTGCCATGCTGAAGCCTTGTGCTGTGGACATGCTGTGGGGCTGCTGCTGTGGGACAGTGGCTGCAGTGCAAGCCTCTCCCTCTTGTTATGGTGGCAGGGTTGAAAGCAGACCAAGGTAGAGCCGTATAGCTGGAAAGGAGTGGAAGGTTAGGGTTAGAGTGGCAGACAGGGTGCTTGTTCCACCCAGTGCAGCGACTGCAGCAGACTTTTCTAGCATCTTACAGAGCACACTCAGCAAGCGCTCGAATGATATTATTTTTACTAATCAAGTTGCCTAATATATATAAAACGTAAGAAACAAAGTTAAAATGTGCACCCCTTGCTATTTTAATATTAATAGGCTGCATAGATACAGTCTATGTATAATTCTAAATAAGAAGTTGGCTGGGTGCAGTGGCTCATGCCTGTAATCCCAGCACTTTGAGCAGCTGAGGCAGAGGGATCACTTGAGCTCAGGAGTTCAAGACCAGCCTGGGCAACATGGTGAAAGCCCATCACTACAAAAAAATACAAAAATTAGCCAGGCATGGTGTTGGTGGTATGTACCTATAGTCCCAGCTACTTGGGAGGCAAAGGTGAGAGGATGGCTTGAGCCCAGAAGGGGCTCAAGGAGGTTGCAGTCAGCTGAGATAGTACCATTGCACTCCAGCTTGGGTGACAGAGACAAACCGTGTCTCAAAATAAATAAATAGTCATAGCAATTTTAATTTTCAATCTACTTGTTTTATAAGATGGATTATAATATTTAAATCATGCTCTATGAAAGTATAATGAACAGTTTAGTATATGAAGTTACATATATTAATAGTATGTTTTACAGACTAAGGAATTTTTATTGTATTTTATTTAAACGATGTTTTTTATTTTTAATCCAAAGTACCAAGATACGAATATGCAGGGAGTGGTATATGAGCTAAACAGCTACATAGAACAACGGTTGGACACAGGAGGGGACAACCAGCTACTCCTCTATGAACTGAGCAGCATCATAAAAATAGGTAAGAAACATTTTGTGTTCCTCTTAGAAAACTTGGGCCAAGATTCTTTTACAAAAAGCAGCAAAGGGTAATTTACTATACTAAGAGGCAGATGAAAGTCGCTTATATTTACTTCTATTTCTGGAGAAATTTGAAGCGAAAATATTTTATTATGAAATTACCAGAGTGAGTCAAACCTAAAAATTTCTCAATTATCTAATCCCAAATATCTGCATGATATACACATGTAATATACTATTCTTTCTAATTAACACCTAGTTTCCTTTGGAAAGTATAGTTTTATTGAATTAAATCACATCTTTATAAGAGATATTAATTTTAAAGAGATAATAAGCATTTTAAATGTATTTGGGTAAACGACAATTTTGTTACATAGACCATGTAAGAAATGTTCTATGTTCTGAATAGAATGGGTAAAGTTATATCAAAAAAGTACTATTTTAGAAGGAAGCACTTATTTTTAGGACATGATTTTTCAGAAGGATACCCACTATGACAATTGTATGTTTTTTAAATTTGAAAATCAAAATGTTGATGATACCAACCGTAATGATTACGTTTATTATTTTATTTAACTGTATGCTATGCACTTGTGTATGCATATTATATGCATTAACTGACTTACTTTTATTATGGCCTCATGAAGTTGTCTTTGTTATTGCCCCCATTTTACTGATGAGAATGCTGTAGAGCAGAGGGGTTAAACATCTTGCCCAAAGTCACACAGGTAAAAAGCAGTTAAGTAGGGGTTTAAATTCAGGCAGTCCCTCTAAGACTTATGGTATTAACTGCTTTGGCTGCCTTCAGATGACCCTGAAGCAATCTTAGGTAAGTTAAATGATGTTTGCTTCAGCGACAGTTACAGATGAATACGTCAGCTTTTTTGCTTGATGCTTATTTTGGTTATTTAATATTATAAATATCACTTGTGGTATTTTAAAGACTTTAAAACTTAAATACAATTTTCAAAATTTGAAAATATTCATCAATAATTCTGAATATTTAAAGTCCAAGGAATATGTTACTACATAGTACATTGACTGCTGTATGCGTTTAGGGATGTCATATCTTAAATTTTGTCTTCTCTGATGAAAAGTATAGGAGGTATTTTAATAATGCTGTTGAGTAAAGCTATAAATGGTTTTGTTTCGTTTACCGCATGACCACTGATTCTGCTAACAAGTCAGCTTGAAAGACGTCTGCCTGTCACCGTAGAGAATGCACACGTTAGATTCTCCCACTGAGCTCAGTTTCTTCCTTTTCTTATTACTTTGGCAGCCACAAAAGCTGATGGATTTGCACTGTATTTCCTTGGAGAGTGCAATAATGTAAGTATCTAAATTTAGAATTTGGTGCTCTAGATAAGAAAATATCATAAGCTCTTTTTTTAAAAAAAGTCACAAACAACAGACATTTCATGATTAATTACTTTTAATTTAAATTGACTTTGTATTTTGTTTCTATATTTGATGATTACCAGTCAAGAATTTTACTGACATGGCAACATTTAAGCATAAAATCATGTGTGTGCGTGCGTGCGTGCGTGTGTGTGTGTGTGTGTGTTTCTTTAGCTTTGGTTTGTGGCACCCTACATTATAAATGACATTTTAGATTTAGTGTTTTGTATAAAAGTGATTCAGCACCGTGAGCTGGGATGTTGTGGAGGAGTCCCTGTGCCCTCCCTACACATGATCTACAGTAGAATAAAATGAGAACAAAAAGCTTAACATTTCTCTGGGTGAGTTTTAAAGTTTTTGCAGAAGACTGAAAGTTCTAGGGTGTAGTCCTAGGGCTCTGAGTCTATGTCCCTAGGCTGCCTTACTGTAGTAGGCTCAGGCCAGTCAAGGCATGGGGATTCTCAGCTGTGGCTGTTCCAGTCTTCTGCCAGCATGCCAGATTCTGTGTTTCTGGTCTGACTTACCTAGAGCACAGTCCACCATAAAATGCAACATGTACAGGCATTTCCAAACTATTTCAGGATGTTCAGTTACTGACATTTGATTTTTGATACAGTATTAATTCTCAGCAAACTAACACAAGAACAGAAAACCAAACACTGCCTATTCTCACTCATAAGTGGGAGCTGAGCAACGAGAATACATGGACACAGGGAGGGGAGCATCACACACTGAGGCCTGTCTGGCGTGGGGAGCTAGGGGAGGGATAGCATTAGGAGAAATACCTAATGTAGATGACAGGTTGACAGGTGCAGCAAACCACCATGGCACATGTATACCTATGTAACCTGCATGTTCTGTACAGGTACCCCAGAACTTAAAATATAATAAAAATAAAAGATACCATATGCATATTTTAGCATACTGAGCCAATAATACTAATAAAATTTTAATGTAGAAATTCCTTCATGACTTTATTTGGAAGATTTTTACTTTGCATTTCTTATGTATTAGGCATTAGTATTTGAGATTTGGAGTGTATTTTTGCAATATGCTACCTGTATTCTTGAATAATTAAGATATATGTTATTTACATTATATACAATGTTACTAGGAATAGAGACAAAAGTATTCTGAGATTCTTGATAAGACTCTTAAAACAGTTTTGCAAAGTGTGTAAATAGTTACACAAATGTTTATTGGCTGATTTCATTAACTTATAGCTTATTAATTTCCATGGCCATTGTTTTCCCTTGTATTGTAATAACTTATGCTTGTTACTTCACAAAACTAATGACTGATTTAGGGCAGGGAACTTTTTGCATTTATTCTTGTATTTCCCAAGCCCCACTCCTAGTGCCTTTCATATAAGCAGTCAGGTAACAGTATTTGTTAATTTGAATCACTCAGATATTACTACCACTTTATTTCAGACAATGGTAGTATTCTAAAATGGCTAAGCGACTAAAATAACAAATATATATTTTTTCTGTGCATTAAAAATTATTTTTTAAATGTTGAAGTTTTTATTAAAAGTTAATAATTTCTTTGAGAAAAAAATTCTACAGTTCGCCATTATTTTTTAATTGGCCGATAGGTGTGGAATGCAGTGTATTGTGGTCCACGTCCCATTACTCCTCCTGGGTCGCCACCGGCAGCCACTAGTGTGGCCACGCAGCTGTGCTCACATCCAGCCCCTTACCCTCAGATCTCTAGTTCATATCGAGGATGGACATGTGGCCCATGAGGGCCCCAGCAGATTATTTGCCAAAACCTGTATCTTGGACTTAACAATTACAGCCATTCACCTGAGCAAAAGTGGTAACAACCTTGAAGTTGAGGCTGCCTCTACAGGATGCTCCTCCTGCCCCATGGAAAGAGAGTAGAGAGAGCTGCTGGGCAGAGACCAAGAGGTGCAGGCACCAGGCACCCTGTGGGCTATAGTGGATGGGAGCACAAACGCTGACTTCGCAGGGCTTGGATTTAGGTTCCAAAATCCACATTTTTAATCACTTGGCTTTTCAACTAATTTTTTTTTTTGCTTTATTTGCAGACTTTATACATTGACCTCAGTGAAGTAGTTTCCTCTTAGATTCAGCAAAAAGCTTTTCTATCTACAATATTTAAATTGTAATTTTATGTATATTAATTTGAATTATTTCATCTTAACTCACTTTTTACTTTAGTAACTTAAAGGACTTGGTACAATATCCTGTGAGTTTTAGTCTGGCTTCTTATTCTAAACTCCTAAGGTCAGTCCATTTACTCTGCATGCTTCTCTCTAGGGTTACTGATTCTCTGTTCTTTCTTTCCTGCATCTCAGGGACTGAGTCTGTCTTCTTCACATCCCTATGAACAGCAGAGTACATAGCAAAATTATAGCTGTCTCTGAGCTTCCCAAGTCAGATCCCACTGTATTTTGCTTTCTCAATGTTATATACTTCTTCATGGAACATAACTGAGCCTGTGATTATATGTTTGTCTTTGATTTGAGTGACTCTTCGTTTATCTGGCTTTCTTGCTAGAATGTAAGTTTCATGAAGGCAGATACTTTATCTGCCTGGGAGGATAATTCTTGGGGATAATTACTGTGTTTTGCTCACTCTATTTTTCCCTTTATGTATTCCACCTTCATAGCTAAGCCCTTATTATTTTCTTAAGCCCGGGATTTCTGTGGGTAGGAAGGAGACATGGCCTGAGAAGTGTTTCTTTCGATGTATTTATATGATTGCTACGTTCTTTGTCCTTTGTTTCTTCTTGTATCTCAAGTCATCCATTTGGGATCATTTTTTTCCCATCTGAAATAGAACCTCTTGAATTTCCCTTCGTGAGTTTGCAGATGGAAGGCTCGCCCGGTTGTGTTTGTTTGAATTTGTCTTTCTTTCACCCACTTTCTGGAAATGTATCTTTGGTAGTTAGAGAGTTCAGCTCTCTGAATATTGACTAAAATAAAGATATTGTTTTTTAATTTATTTTGGTTTCTATTTTAGTATTTTATTTCCTGTACATAGTTTCAAGCTTGTCTTTTATTTTTTGAAATCTTCCTCTATGTTCCTTTGAATTTCCAGTTTCCTAGGTTTTGTTTCCTTTGACTCTGACCGATGGTGACTACTTTGCTCATGTGTTCTATGGTTTTCTCTTTATTTTTCCTTCCTCTCTCTCTCTTTTCTCTCTCTGTCACTGTGAATTTATTCTTCCTTAGGCCCCTTAAATGGATACTCTCAAGGCTTGTTTGAAGTGCCTTTCCAGTTCCCTTTCAGGAGATAGATTTGCATTTGTTTCTGCTAGTCCCTTGAGGTGCTGATTATCTGGTTGAGTTTTTTTTTCAGACTACAAAATAGTATGGATTCAAGAGTCATATCCAAATGCACAATTATGACTTCTCAGAGGAGATTTTTATTTTCCCTCCAATACTAATTTCAAAATAATTTGGTTTCCTTGCAGCTTCTTTGCTGGGTTAAGTGTATTTGTCCTTCGACCTGGGATGAATGCTTGGCCTGTGGCCAGTCCTGGCCCTCTAACGCAGTCTCTATTTAGACTTCCCTCACAAAAAGGCCCAGCTTTCCTCTCTTGTCATCTCCTACTCTTCATGTGGCTTTCCTGGGAGAAGACTAATCTATTCAGTCCTTAGTTAATATCCTCAAGAGATAGCTGGCTTTGGGATCTGGTTACATCCCACGCTTCCTTTATTTACTTCCTTTTAGATTTCTGTGGATTCCTTCCATTCTTCTCAGCCCAGCAAAGCAATATAAAAGATGGGTAAAATATATTTTATGCAGCTTTTAAATAAATTTGGAATTGTTTTTGTAAAAGTGCCAGTCAAATGATTTAATCTGCTCTATTCATTGCAATGGAAGATATGATTCTAAAATGTAACTAACCATATTAAATAAAACATCTCTTGCATGCATAAGCAGATACATGTATATATTTTTGTATTTCATCTTTTGCACATGAAAGGTAGCAAAGTATACATAATTATCAATCTTTTAAAAATGTGTCCTGATAGCAAAAAAAGTCTTTCTTAAGTAACGTAATTTCACAACAAAAATTATATACTTTAGTGACAAAACCATAATAAAACTCAAATAGAGAAAATTTTTTGCCCATATCAACAAATACTAAAGGTTAAAAAAAGAAGGTATTATACAGTTTTTACATTTATTAAAGTACTAATTTCTTCTCAGCCAGTAGAAATAATTAAATTTCTGAAATTGACATAGTGAGAAATATAACTTAAATAGCATTTAAATATGTCAGAAGTTCCAGTAGAATTTAAAAATGCACATTCATATAACCAGAGAGGAAAAAATCTTCTATGTGTTTTCTTCACATTGAACATTTAGTGGAAGATAAAAACAAACTAAATACTAAAAAGCACTAAAATTAAAGTATAAAATATTACTGTGGAAATCATTATGTGATTGTAACAAAATTACTTGTAAAGAAGGTCCAACTGTTAAGAAAAGAAACGAAATCAGGTTAAAAAAAGCGAACTGTCTTTTATTATGGTGCATCGAAGTTTCTGAAGCAAAATGAAGAAAAGGAACAGAATTGAAGTGGTGTTTTGCTTATTGAGAGATCACAAAAACAACTTAGAAGAGGTTGTCAATATCATTATTATTTATTTGAATAATATACATATTAAACTCAGTATATTAGGTTAGGATCTACCAACTTGTGGTTACTTTTCTTCTTTGGGCTAGACCCTATTTTAATGTATTTAACTTCTATTTAAGAATTCTTCATGGGATTTCTATAATGGCTAAAAACAAAGGAGACTGGAGGGCTCAGAGGAAGACAGGGAGATGAGGAAAAGTTTGAAACATCTGAGAGACTGGTTGAAAGGTTGTGACCAAAATGCCGATAGTGATATGGACAGTGAAGTTCAGGCTGAGGGGGTCTTAGACGGAGAGGAAGCCTGGCTGCTC